GCCAGAGGACTGGTAGGAGGAGTAGCCACGAGACAAGTGGCGTAGTCAAGGCGGCGAGTAGTGGCGAACTCAGTGACGGCAACAGTAAGGGCAGAGACAGAGGACAGAGAGGCACGAGGGTCCGTAACAAGAGAGGCGAGAACACAAGGGAGAACAGTTCGGTACGTGCGGTAGTAGTCAGTGACAGGAGTAGAGAGGGAAGCAGTGAAGGCCGACTCAGGAGGAGAAGGAAGCACAGACTGAGACGAACGAGGCGGACTAGGACGGAACAGGGCAGTACGAAGGTCAGTGAGAGCGATAGGGGACGAGGGACGAGCACGAGGAGAGCGACGAGAGGGCCAGGCGGGCAAAGGAGGGGGAGACAACGGAGTCGGAAGAACGAGGGAGAACAGCTGGGGAGGAGTCAGGAGGAGGAAATGTGGGACCGTAGACAGGAGGAGAGGGGGAGGAGGAAGGAGAGGGAGAGGGGAGACCGAGGGTCCGAAGGCCAGAGACAGGAGGAGGAGGTGGCTGCGGCTGCTGCTCCTGGTGCGGCTGCGACAGCTGCTCCCGCGGCTGCTGCTGCTGTTGCTGCTGCTCCTCCAGCCGCTGCTGCTGCTGCTGCTCCACCTCCAGGCCGCTGCAACTCTCTCTCTCCTCTCTCTCTCTAACTCCAGCTGCTCCTCATGGGCACGGCGAACACGAGCCTGGTGCCGGGTCGGGTAGGGGTGGGGGGGAGGAGTAGTGTCCGGGGCCGCGGCAGCCCCAGGACCACCCTCCAAAGCACCCGGCGCACCACCCCCAGAGGCAGTACCACCAACAGCAACACGGCCAGGCTCACAAGGACCCGAAGGGGGCGCACCCGCACCCCCAGACATAGCACCCCCAGAGTCAGCACCACCTACACCAGCTCCCTGAAGACGAGAGTCTCCTGCAGCCTCGGGCTCAGCCCCAACTCCAGCACACCCAGAGCTAGCACCGACAGGGTCCTCGCCACGAACACCGGATCCCGCAGGGTCTGCCGCAGGCTGCCAGGAGGACTGCGGGGAAGGAGGCTGTATCTGAGGGGCTACCGAAGGGGGAGGGGTAGCGTGGGACACACCTGACGGGGCTGGACCAGGGGGGGGAGGCTGTACCGGGGGAGCAGGAGGGCGAGCGGAAGTTAGGAAGAGAGGGGGAGGAGGAACCGGGAGACCTCGGCAGGGGTACCTGACGTAGTAGGGGACGGACTCGTCGAAACTGACGTCACGGGAGTCAAAGAACTGGTGAAGGAGAGGGTGGTAAAAGGTGAAGTCAGAGGAGTCTTCTGGGAAACCAAGGAAGACACAAGGAACGGCGCGAGGCCAGATCTTGTCCGCGGAGGTGTCGCAAACAAGAGCCAAGCAACCCCAGACACGAAACCGCGACGCAACACCAGGGGACTCGGTCCAAAGACTAGTCGGTGAAACCTCTGGCCGAGAGACACGTGGCCAGAGGTTCAGCTAGTGAGCGGCGTACCTAACCGCATAGGGCCACAGAAAATGGGGGGCACGGGCGTGAGTCAAGGAGGTGCGGGCGATCTCCATGACCAAGCCTATGCGGCGCTCAGCAACCCCATTTTGCTGTGGGGACTCTGGAAGCGTCCAGGACTGACGAATGCCCTGCTCGCGACAGAATCCAGCGAGAATGCCAGGGCGAAACTCACCCCCACGGTCGGAGTGAAGACAGCTGACTCGACGACCACGAGTGCCCTCAGTGGTAAGCAACCACCTGATCAGCGTAGAACTCACCTCAAACTTCTTCGCAAGGGGGAACACTGTGGTGTAGCGGGAGTAGTCGTCAACGACCACCAGAAAGAAACGCTCACGCTCAGGGCCAAGGCGAGAGGCGGGGCCCCAGATGTCCAAGTGGAGCGTCTCAAAAGGCTCGGTGGTCGGACGAAGGGAGGAGGAGTGAGGGGTGGCGCGCAGCCTACCCTCAACGCAGGGACCGCACGGTGGTGCAAGCGAAGGCAGCAGCGACGGCAAGACACGTGGGAGGCCTAAGACAAGACGCTGACGAGACATGGTGCGCAGACGAGGGAGAGACAGGTGCCCCATCCGGTGGTGCCACAGAACGGTGGGGTGGGCAAGTGACCGGCAAGAGCACGACGCAACAACTGGACAAGACACGGGAACCTGACCAGACACAGCTACCTGGGGGGACGCAGCAACCTGGTGAGACGCAAGGACCAGACTGGGGGAAGGAACAGGGGCCGGGGGCAGTAGTCGCTGCTACTGCTGCTGCTGCTGCTGCTGCGGCGGCGGCTGCTGCTGCTGCTGCCCACCAGAGCTAGTGTGAAGTGTGTAGAGACCAGAGCCCGGCTCAGCTGTAAAGGTGGCAAGAGGCGTGTAAGTGTCCCCGTCAACACAAACCGCCGTCTCACCAGAGGGCTCAATCCACACACCCACGTGCTGACTCACAAGAGGCCTCACGCCCACCAAGTTCCGCGAGAACGAGGGGACGTGGAAGCCAGTAAGAGACCCAGAGGGAACAGCAGGGCACGGAAGAGTAGTAGTGTAGCGAGCAGTGACTGGTCCCGAGGTGGGATCAGCCAGAGCCACAGAGACCGGCGCCGGAAGCGGAGTAAGTGTCGTGTGGTCCCGGAAGAAGCAGTGCGAAGCCCCAGAGTCCAAAGTGAAAGACAGCGAAGCGTCCTCCGAAGTAGCTCCTGGACTAGTGTCTACACAATTGCCTACACTAGGAACAGGCAATCAGCAAGACTAGCACCTAAGCTGATAACACTCGAGTAAACAAAGTCAGAATCACTAGAGTCAACAACAGCATGCATTGCATTAGGAGTTCCTAAGAGATCAACCAACTGATAAGCTGACATGCCCCAAAGAGCGGAGCCGTACGTCTGAACAAGAGGAAACCAGTCAGGGGCAGGGCCGCAAACGCCGAAGGCCAAGCGAACTGTGTCAGTGAGCTGAGCAAAGCACTGACCAAGAGGGTGGGTGCAGCCACAAGGCTGGCCTCGGCGAGCACCTGTCAAAAGCTGATAGGTGCACGAAGGGTGAACAACACCTCGCTGAGGCTGACGCTCTCCTGGCCCCGAAACCTGCTGCTGCCGCTGCTGCTGCGGGGGCTGCTGCAAGGGGAGGGGCTGCTGCTGCTGCTGCTGCCGCTGGGCCAGGTACCATGCCGCTGCTCCACCCGCCGCGGCCGGCAGACCAGAAGGTGGCTGACGAGCCCGGGCGTCGCCTCCACCAGCTGCAGTAGCAGAGTCACCGGCCGCTGCACGAGACGCCTCTCCAGGCCCTGCACTCCCGCCGCCACCAGTCGGCACGCCACCCCCGCCACCTCCGCCTCCAACGCCTCCACCGCCGCCGCCACCTGTACCCTGACCGCCCCTCTTACCACCTCTACCTCGAGACCGCGAAGAAGTCGTAACAGTAGCTGCGGTCACGTCAGTAGCAGCAGTGGCGAGAGAGGCTGTAAAGGTGGGCAGCTGAGGGACAGTGCACCCGTGGAACAGTGGAGGGGGCACAGCACCAGAGGCGGAGGCTACGGAGCGGATGTTGCTCTCGACGTCCTTGAGCGCAGACTCAAGGACCTCGATAGTGAGCTCACTAGGGTGCTTCAGAAGAAGCGTGTCACGGACTGAGGCAAGGCGGTCAGGGAGGCTAGTGGCGATGAAATAGATAGTAATCGCCATGGGAGGAGGGAGCAGTGCAAGCTGTGCCTCAGTGCAAGCAGCGCGGTAGCTAGAATCAAGCGAGCGGAGGTGAGCAATAAAGTCAGCAGAGCGCTCAAACGAGGCGAGGTCAGGGAACAGGAACCGTAGGAAGAGTCGGCCACGAGAGACAGTGGTGGGAGTAGCGTAGTGGGCCTTAATCGCAGTCAGGAACTCACTAGTAGTGCGAACCTGAGTGAAGTGGGCCTCCTCAGACTCAGGGAGGAGGCTGCTAAGAGCGATGCAGGCCGCAGAGTCACGCGACTTTTACGCCGTCAGGTCAGCACGCTGGTGGGTGAAGCGGTCCCTGGCTGCGTCGTCAGGGGCGGTGCCTAAAGGTGTAGGCCGAAGAACCCTAGGGGTCAGGCTACAACATTTGACACAAGTCAACAACGCATTGACTCGTGCGACTCGTCCCTGCTGCAGCTGCAGGCGGCGCGTGCGATCGGCGCTGCGCGCGAAGCCGTCAACGAAACGCGCAGAGGGGCGGAAGCGCACTGGCGCGCTTTGCGCGAGAAGGCGCAACGGGGACTGCACAGCGCACAGCAGGCTTTGGCGGAACGAGGGGGACGGCTGCTGGAGGAGCGGGCATGGGGAAAGAATGGCTGGTATGATGATAATGAGCAGCGGACGCCTGGGGTGCGCTGTGGGGTCCTCACAGACCAGACGAGGCGGCTGGATGGGTGTGTCTTGTTCCCCTAGAGATTTGGAGTGCGGTAACAGTGGTTTTCGAGCGACAGATAGATCACGGTGGAATACACCAGAATATACAACACGCTAGGAGATACCGGTATGATCCTAGCTTGGAGAGCTCCGTGGATTAGATGTAGGAAGACTCAATAGATAAGATGGAACTGGGACCATCCCACAAGGATAGCACCTTGCACACACAAGCTCGGTGCCGTGGGGTTAGCCAGCACAACAAGTGCACGGCTGGTTCGGATCCCCTTGCAGCACCCTATCATCTACCTAGAACTATACATGCCTACTCTTACTCACGCTCAACACACAAAAACACCAACCAACCGTGCACACTGCATTGGCTGCGAAAGAACTTGAAGTCCGGGCACCCAGGTCTGGCCATCCAGGTCCAGGCAGGCATCCAGGCCGCCATCCAGGCCTGGCCATCCAGGTCTGGCCAGCCATCCAGGTCCGGACATCCAGGTCCGGGCATCCAGATCCGGGTCTATAGGAACATGTGTTACAAGAGCATGTGATGTGAGCAAAGCAGTGCACAAACTCGTGGTCTACCGACAGCTCATCTCCACACGCACTGCATTGGCGGTGCAAGAAGAGACCGTCAAGTGCGGGCGTGAGGACAAGTGGGCTACAAGAGCAGCTGCGCAAAGTACTGCTCAAACTCGTCATCTATGGTGGGCTTCTTCTTGGGCGCTGGCAGTCCCTCTGATAGACACAGCACATCACAGCACAGAGCAGCACAGCACAGCACAGCACAGCACAGCACAGCACAGAGCAGCACAGCACAGCACAGCACAGCACAGCACAGCACAGAGCAGCACAGCACAGCACAGAGCAGCACAGCACAGCACAGAGCAGCACAGCACAGCACAGCACAGAGCAGCACAGCACAGCACAGAGCAGCACAGCACAGCACAGAGCAGCACAGCACAGCACAGAGCAGCACAGCACAGCACAGAGCAGCACAGCACAGCACAGAGCAGCACAGCACAGAGCAGCACAGCACAGCACAGAGCAGCACAGCACAGCACAGCACAGCGCCGCACAGCACAGCACAGCGCAGCGCAGCGAAGCGCAGCGCAGCGAAGCGCAGCGCAGCGCAGCGAAGCGCAGCGCAGCGCAGCGAAGCGCAGCGCAGCGCAGCGCAGCACAGCACAGGGCAGCACAGCACAGCACAGAACAGCGCAGCACAGCACAGGGCAGCATAGCACAGCACAGCACAGCGCAGCACAGCACAGGGCAGCACAGGGCAGAAGAGAGCAACTCAGAGAGCAGAACAGAGCAGAGCAAAGCACACCGACCACAAGAGAGAAGCACAGAGCACACAAAGCACACAGAGAACACAGAACAGCACAGAGCACACAGAGCAACACGGGTAAGGGAAGGGGATGCACAGAAGTCAGGGCGAGGGTGAGGGAAAGGGTAAGGCTGAGGGCATGGGGGGCAGGCATGAGCACAAGTTGATTGATTGGAAAAGCATTACAACATGGCATTTTCTACTACTGATGGCACGCAACACTGCGCGGCAAAACGACACAAACAACTGGCATGCAGACGGAAAAAGCATTGAAGGGGGGGCAAGGGGAGTGTGGAGGGAGGGGGGGCTGGGAGCGGGAGGGGTGGGGGCATTGGGTGTGAGAGCAAAGGGAGGGAGAGGTGGGCAAGGAGAGGAGGAAGAAAGTGAGCTTTGAACAAGTGCAACAAGAGTTTGGCATCCACCTGCTGAGAGTGTTCGCCCAGAGGAGAGGACAAACTTGGCCGCCCCTACGTGGTCCGCCATGCACCTATCGGCCTCCCCTTCCAGTGGTCCGTCCTCCTCCTCGCCACCCACCACCTGTGACTGCACCACCACGCTGAACCGCCGCCTCATCTCCGCCTCCTCGTCCGCCTCCTCTGCTCCCGCTCCCCCCGCTGTTCCGTTTGGTCTCTGCCGCTGCCTCTGCCGTTGCCGCGTGTCTCCACGGTCGTCATCGCCGCAGCGCGCCTCCCCGTCATCATCGCGTAGCCCCTCGCTGCGCGCGCCGTTCACTGATTCCTGCAGCACGCGCGCGTTCCGCCTCCGCCCTGCGCGCTGCTCGCTGCCCGTGCTCTCCCGCTCGCACGCGCTGCTGCCCCCGCTGCTGTCCCCGCTGCTCCCCTCGCGCGCGCGGCACTCCGCGGGCGCCGGCGCACACGTGCCGGCGATCGCGGCACCGCCTGCGCGCAGGCCGTCATCCACGCTCGCACTCCCTGCTGGCCCGCCGCCCGCCGTGCCTGCCGACGCGCATCCCGCAAGCACGGGCGCATGCGCGGATGGAGGCCGCCTCGCCGACGAAGCTAGCCCATCCCGCTCATCCTCCGCCGTCTCCCCTTCCTCCGCCACCCCCACTAGCCCCACCTTTCGTCTCCGCCTCCTCGGTCGCGGGGTGCTCTCTGCGCCGACTCCTCCTTCCCTCCTCTCCGCTTCCTCCTCCGCCCTTTCCCCGCCCTCCGCATCGGCCCTTTCCCCACCATACGCGCACGAGCTCTGCTCCCCTTCCCCTTGCGCTGCCGCCCATCCGCCCGCCTCGATAAGCGCGCCTGGGTCGCCCGCTCCCCGCGCCATCGCGACCTGCTGCCCCGGATCCACCCCCGCTCCCCGCCGCTTCCTGCCCCGCGCGCATACCACCCGCCGCGTGCGCGCGCCGCTCTCCATTGACGCGCCGATGCTGCGCGCGGAGGACGCGGGATGGTGGAGGCCCCCCCGCCCGTCACCGTGCGCGCCCGCTGCCGCGCCCACGGCGAACGCAAGCGGCGCTCCGCTGCCCGACGCCTCCAGAAGCAAATCTGACTCTGCGATTGGCTGGAAAGAATGCGGCGCGAAGTCGACCGACGATGCGCTCAGAGCGCGCCACGCGCCGCCTCTGCCCTCCGCCTTCCCCGCCACCGCCGCCGCCGCCGCCCGACCTTGCGCTTCGAAAGCCGCTGGCCCTGCCCCCCACGCGCCTGGCCTCTCCGCCCATGCCGCGCCTTCCGCGGGCCTGTGCGGGGCCGCCGCGAGGCATGCGCGCTTGGCGGAGAAAAGGGGAACGTCCCAGCGGGTGGCGTGCGCGGGCGGGGAGGCGGATGGATGCGCAAAAGGGGAGTCCGCGTGCGACGGCGCGACGGCCGCGTGCGGCAGGGCAAAGGCGGGGGCGTGAGGGCCATGTGATGATGTCAGACAGGCGGAGTCGTCGGCAGTGTCGGATAGATGGCTGCTCGCACGGGAGGGGAGGAAGGGGAACGAGGAGGGGAGGAGGTGGGGGGAACGGGGGGAAAGAGGGGGTGGGGTGGTGGGGGTGTGGGGGCGGGAGGTGGGGAGACGGGAAAGAGCGGGTGGAGGGGGGGGAAACAGGGGGTGGGGAAAGAGGGGGTGAGGGGAGTTGGGGTTAAGAAGGCAACACGAGGTGGATGGAATGGGAAGAGGGAGAAATGGGACGGGAGGGGGGAAATGGGAGAGAAGAAAGAGGCAGAGGAGGAAATCAGCGAAAGGAGTGAGATAAGCGAACGAGGAATGGGCGTTGGCGGGGTCACGAAAGCATCTCCGTCGCGCGCAGTTTGCGACAGACACGAGGAAAGCAGCGGCGACAAGGTGGCCAATACGCGCAATACCTTTTCCGCTTCCGCCACCCGGCATCCGCTTGCGCTCCCCCCGGCACCGCCGCATCCCCGTCATGCCGCGCGCAGCTGTTGCGCGCGCCCGACCAGCCTTCCTCCGCGCGCCCCCGCTGAGACCCCTCAAACCCGCAGCTTCCATCCACGACGCTCCCGTTGGCCCAGCTGCCGCCGTGCGACGGGTGCGACGAGACGAGCGACGGGTGCGAAGGGACGTGCGACGAGTGGGACGGCGCGTGCGACAGAAGGAAGGAGTCGGCGAGAGAGGAGCCGAAGGAGGCGGAAGCAGGCGGGGGGGCGGCGGCGGGGGGGGCCCACTTCTTGTGCCCCACCACCCATCGGCGCGCGGAGAGGGGGGCGGCGGGCGGCCGGGATATGGCGTCCATTGGCGGGGAGGGGGGAGAGAGGCGTGGAGGACGACAGCGGTACCTCGCCTGACGATGACCTGCAGCACGCAGGGATAGCGGGAGGGAAGACGCGCGCAGCGGGGATGGCGGGAAGCGCGCAAGCGGGAATGGCGGGAGGGAAGTGGCGTTCACACGGGACGAAAAGGGGAACGACGGTTATTTCTGTGAGCGGGCGGTCGAGCGGGGGAGTACAGGGAGAGGAATCGACTCGACGGGATGTGTCGCGAAACGCCGAGGAACTTCCAAGAGATGCTGCGCGCGCATGCACGAGCGACGACGTCGACGCAAATTTATATACATGCCGAAAAGCGGTACGGGGGAATGAGACAGAGTGGAGAAGGCGAGAAGGGAGGAAAGCCGAGGAGAGTTATCGTGTTGCACGGGATAAAGTCGAAAAACAGGCAGTTGAATAATGAGAAGAGTCTTACCACTAATGATGGTTGTTGACGCGAAACCGAGAGGCTATAGCGACATTACGACCGAGCATAAATACACGAGTAACTGCCAGTCACACAATGTCACATACACAGTGGGAGGGGAACGGACGCTTTGTGAAGAGAGAGACGGAGGCGGGGATCTGAGAGATTGGCGATCTAGAAGGTGCTGGGCCGCATCGACGGTCCATTGCCGTACAATGACAAGGCCATGCGACTGGCGACATTACATCGTACGACACTGCATGCGACGACAGCAAACGATGGCAGCATGCGATGGCAGCTCGTGGCGATAGCACTACACACAGTGAGAACTACCGGATACTCACGTCGCAAAATCTGTAGCTTGTGTTGCTGTATCGACCTGTTGAAGCTCCGCTAGCATAAAGTTAACTCTACGAGCACCCAACTAGGGTTACGGTTGTGGCGCAAGCTAACAAGCTAAGAGATGCGTGGATTGCTAGGAAGCATGAGGCAGCGAGGAATGGGGGGGAAGCGAAAGCAGTGAGCTGAGCAGTTGGGCTTCACCACACCCAACGACTAACGACCAACGAAAGGACCAGAGAACAGCTAGGGTTTGGTGAACGGCACTGTTCATGCGGTGAGGGGAGGAGGAGGGCCAAGGCAGGTGAGCAAGTGGGCAGGAGGAGAGGGGAGGGGGAGGCGAGGGAAAGGGAAGAGAAGAGAAAGGGCGGAGGCGAGGAGAGGCGAGATGCAGGTTGGCATATCGCAGGGCTATCCGCTGTCCGTTGGGATTCAGATGCGCTCATCAATGTGAATGGCGTGATGAGGTGGCGCCGATGCCGTGCTGCCATGCGTGACTCGCCTGCCCTCGCTCTCACGTGCGACACGCTGGAAGTGGAACAAGCATGGCAGAAAAAAGTTCGTTCTGGGTGGCTACATCGCTCCATGGCTGTAAGTAAATTAAAAAAATGTCTTACACCTGGAAAACGAATAACAAAGCTTGTGACTACATGAACTGACGATATAATGAAAAGGCAAGCGATAATATAGCGGGTGCAAGGAATTTTCTAGACATTCCTTAGCGCATCCTGCAACATCGCGTACAGCAGCAGCCGTTGTTCGCCCGTTACTGCTAACGGGGCTTCGCCGACTTCGCGCGCACTGTTTTCACCAAACCTCGCACTGCTGGCCCGGCCGTGTCGGCCTACGCTTCGGGACTAGCCCGAACCTCACTGCCAGCGTAGCACTAGCTAGCTCGCACGCACCGCGTTACCGTTTGCATGTTTCGCGTATAAATGTTCGCTCATGCCTTCGCTCACATTTTGTACACGTTTGATACTTAGTGCAATCCTCGCTACCTCGATTCATTGCACCCGTAACACTTGGTATTCAGAGCCTCTTTCTTTTCGGACCGCGCATCTCCGACCCCAGGAAATAAACTTTTGATTTTTCACTTGTTACGATATGAAATAAAATGAGAAGGCATTCCTGTATGCTGCAGGAGCCGACTTTACCGAGTACGAAGTCGAGGAGTCATAAGAGTCGAAGCGACGCAGCAACCGTCTGACCAAGACCGATGCAGGCAGAAACATTTGAAGTGAAAAGAGCGGGAACATGTTTGAAACGAGTTCTCGCACCGCACGGTTTGAATTTCGCTGTAATAAGGGAATGTACCCCTTAGAGTACATGGCTAGTCTAGGTCTTTTCGTATTCCCCTGTATTCTTATATAAACCCGTTGTTGTCAGAATGTTATTGTTCTCTAGCCTGCAGTGGGGTACTCTATAGCGAGTACAACCCCCTAGGGTTTCCTATATGTATCCTGCTGCTTTCTAGTGAACATCCTCCTTTGCTTATTCTCTCTTGCCTAGCTAGGGCTTACCTAGCTATGGCTCCTACTCATTCCTCGTTTCAGTTTCACATGGTATCAGAGCACTCACGCTCCTGGCCTGTGGGCCCTACTGCTGCTTCCGCTGCTACTCTGTGTGTTGCACGCCCCGTGGCGTGCGACGGATTTCTCTTCCCGCCGCGCGCTCGGAGCGTGCGGCGGTTTTCTGCCCGCCGTGCGCCCCGAGGCGCGCGGCGGTTTTCTGCCCGCCGTGCGCCCCGGGGCGTGCGGCGGTTCTCTGCCCGCCGTGCGCCCCGAGGCGCGCGGCGGCCTTCTGCCCCGTCGGTCCGCGCGTCGCCCCCGGGGGGCGCTTCGACGGGCGACGGGGACCAGCCCGTCGTCCCCCGTCGCCCGTCCTGGCCAGCGCGGGCTGCGCCAGCCCCGAGCGCGGCCCGTACGGGCTGCGCCCGGCCCGCGCGCGGCCCGTACGGGCTGCGCCAGGCCCGCGCGCGGCCCGTACGGGCTGCGCCAGGCCCGCGCGCGGCCCGTACGGGCTGCGCCAGGCCCGCGCGCGGCTCGGGCCGCCTGCGCGCGGTTCGTCGGGCTGTGCCAGGCCCGTGGGCGGCCCGTTCCTCTCTGTCCCTGAGCTGCTCGCTGTCCCCCGTGCTTCTGACGGTGCCCCACCCCTACTGCTGCCCGTTCTCCTGAATTAGGGTTTGGGGGTGAGGAGTGTGGGGGTGGCGGTTGTGTGTTACTCCCCTTGCTCCTCCTCCTCCCTGGTCTCCCACTGCTGCAGCTGCCGCTGAGGGGGGTGGGTGTGTGGGAGCCTAGGGTTTAGGGTTTAAGGGGGGTGCTGTAGGAGTGGAGTTAGGGGTTCAGCAGGGGGTGTGTGTCGAGGGTGTGGGGCAGTTGGAGGAGGTTGTGTGGAGGTAGCGGTCGTGTCGCCTGCAGCGCCTGTAGTCCGTCGCCCTTGCTTCGGTAGCCAGTGAGCCTGTTGCACCAGTCGCCAGTGGGTCCGTTGTTCCTGCCGCTCGTCTATAGCCGCGGAGCCAGTTACTCCAGTAGTCCGTCGCCCTTGCTTCGGTAGCCACTGAGTCAGCCGCTCCTGTGCCCGTGCCTCTGCAGCTTCAGTCGTTGCCTCCCATCTTCTCTCCTTCCACAGTTCCTCCTCCTCCTCACTTGCCCTCTGCGACTGCCCCTAGCTTTACTTGTGCATGTGAACCTGCTCTAGGACTACTTGCTCTGCTGATTATACCCCACTTTGACTATGGGGGTGTGTCAGAATGTTATTGTTCTCTAGCCTGCAGTGGGGTACTCTATAGCGAGTACAACCCCCTAGGGTTTCCTATATGTATCCTGCTGCTTTCTAGTGAACATCCTCCTTTGCTTATTCTCTCTTGCCTAGCTAGGGCTTACCTAGCTATGGCTCCTACTCATTCCTCGTTTCAGTTTCACAGTTGTATGTATGCTTTTATCAACCCTGAGCGATCCTTCGCTAAGTCCCACTTGGTAACATGGTATGAGAGCTACTCAGGGATTCTTCGCAACAACACTTCCGTGAAATTCGCCCAAGCAAGATCTGGCGAGCGGCACACGCTCAAAGACCAAGATGGCCGGAGGATCCGGAGGCCAAGCAAATCTGACGGCCGAAGGACAAACCAACCCGGCTGCGACAAATGAGGCGACAACTACGATCGGCACTGTCGCACTCTAGCAGCTATTCGCTCGACTTTCAACTATGGAGAAAGAACTCCACGAATTGCTCAAAGGCGATGTGGGAACCTCTTCCCAACCAGCACAACCTGGACAACCGGCTACAAAAAGCCGTGATACCGCCGCGCACACCTTCTCCCTCGACATAGACAAATCAACAACAACTGCCCCCCCGTCCAAGTGATGAAGTTATCAACTCTGCGCAAGCACGCTTCCTCAGTGTTTCAAAAATCAAGACTACTGCCGCGTTTGACGGCAAGGATTTCTACACATGGAGTTTTGAGCTTGAGCTCCTCCTACAAACGGCGCAGATCTACTATTACTTCAACGGCTCCTACCCTAAACCGGTGGAAAACACCGAAGTCGTCAGGGCTCAGTACTATAACGAGTCCCTCATGGCCTACAGTGTGATGCTAAGGAATATGACGCCTGCGGAACAACTCAACATTCGCTCCTACAAAGAGAGCGCCGCTCCCGCCTTGGAAGCTTGGAAGCACCTCGTTGAAGTTTATCAGCCGAAGGATTTGGTCACCGCGAGCAGGCTTCTGCAGCAGCTTATGGAGACAAAGATGGGGCACGGGGAGAAAGCGAATTCTTATATTAACCGCTGTCGCAACATCCGTGACCAGATCACGAAGCATGGGAGCGCAATCTCGGAAGAGATCTTCGTCAACATAGTCCTTCAAGGACCCGGGCCAGAGTGGAAGCCCTATAAAGCGCTACTCCGACAGCGAGGAACCCTCTCAGAAGCCGCGCTATGCGCCGCACTCCTGTCCGAACAGCAGGACATGGATTCGAGCAGAACAAGCTCCGCGCCACGCCGAGAGCGCCTCGCCTTCTACGCGGACAACCGAGAAGAGCGACGAAAACCAAGGCGCCATTATTGCAAAATATGCAAAGTCTTCGGACATTCAACGGATCGATGCAAATCCCGATCCAACTATCGCCACCCAAATTCCACTCACCACAACAACTGGGTCGGCGGACAAGATGCTCGTCATCCTCAGTCTCAGCATCAGACACCTCGTCCTCCTGCACAACATCAACAACAGCAAACACAAGGACCTCAATCAGGAGCTCCCAGAAATGTTATTGCGAACATGGCGACACGTCGCCAACGCACTGCTGAACCGGACGAAGAGAACGAGATCCAAGGAAGACTCCTTGAGCCAGAGGAGGGTTGGAATAATCCCCTCACTGAAGATCACTATTACTTGTACGACGAGGATGAGCAGGATTGGAATCAGCCAATCACATTGCGGGAAAGCCCGCTGCATGACAATCAACACTACGTACCGGTGGGATGGAAGGAGGACGAAGATCCTTTCTTCCACAGGCGCTACAAGGAAACCCTGGTGACTCCGCTACTGGCGCTACTTCTGCGCAGAAACAACACCGACAACCACAACACCTGGTACCTGGATAGCTGTTGCGGACAGCACATGGTGGGATCCACGCGATACGTCTCGAATCTGAGCCGCGCCCCCGCAACCTACGTCACCGTCGCCAACAACGAGCAGCTGCGCGCCAATGCGCAAGGCATCATGGTCCTGGAAGCATGAGATAGCAACACACATATCTCGTTCAACGACGTACTCTACATCCCAAACCTTCGCTTTAATCTCCTCTCGGCAGGACAACTTCGCGACTGCGGAGTCATCCTCACCACGGACCTCGCCACACATGACCTCATCCTCACCTACGCTCCCCCGGACACCCCTCCCGAATCGTTCAAATACCTCGGACGAGCTTGTTCAATCAACGGGATCTACGTCCTAGACTTCGACGTACCTTCCTGCCAAGCATCATCCGACGAGCTCGTGGACCTCGTCCCTCTTGAGTTCGCCTACATGAACAAGGAATCATGGGAGCACCCGGACGG